ACCCCCCCAATAAAGCAAAAATGCATGTTTAAGGGTGGCCTTTTATTGTGGCCACCCTAAGGCACACCTGTGAAATAATCATGCTGTCTAATCAGCATCTTGATATGCCACACCTGTGAGGTGGGATGGATTATCTCGGCAAAGGAGAAGTGCTCAATATCACAGATTTTTTCAGATTTGTGAACAATATTTGAGAGAAATGGTTATTTTGTGTATATAGAAAATGTTTTAGATCTTTGAGTTCATCTCATGAAAAATGGGAGCAAAAACAAAAGTGTTGCGTTTATATTTTTGTTCAGTATATATGAGCAATATATACATATGAGTATTGTTTCATCCTTAACATATTCCCAAACCTGCAAAAAGGAAAACACATGCAAACTAAAACAACACTATGTTGAATATGTATGTTGTGTTGTAGTGGATGGTTTTATTGATTTCTTACATTTATAGCTTGTTTACCTTTGAACATGGTCATGTTCTTGTGTTTCCTATATTCTATTGACATATAGACTACTTTTTATTTTGTATTTTTGTATTTTATTACATATGTTGTATTTGTGGAGGAGCTCAGGTCAGAAGAATGTCATTTCTACACTGTAGCTTTGTGCATATGGCAATAAAACCTTTGAATTGTGATTTTCTTTTGAAATTGTGAATGTTATTCTGACGTAGAAACAAGAAATCTTAAAGGCAAAGAAAATGTGTCAAAACCATTTTGTTCTTAACACTGGATATAAAAGGAGTGCAGTACCTTCTCCAGCTGGGCGTTCTGATTGGACTTGTACAGCACCTCCCCTACGGCCACAAACACGGACAGCACCAGTCCTGCAGCGAGCACGATGAAGATCCCTCCGATGTTCTGCACCCCGAGAGCGCTGGCCTCCTTGCTCTCCTCCTCGGGACAGCCGTTCCCTCTCCACCACTTCTCCTTCATCATGTGCAGCTTCCCTTCCTCCTGCAGCTGCAGAATAGCTATCGTGATCTTGTCTCTGTAGGGAGAGCCTGCGAGGAGACAACATGAGATTAGTGAGCATGGATAATAACAGGATATGATCAAATCCTGCTTTATTGTTAAGTGTAAGTGTATGTATTTAACTAGCAGTGGTGGGTGTATGCCACACGCTCTGGCCTGCATGCGATCACATAACCTGTCATGTTATTGTTCGTCTGCTAAGCGGGAGTTTTTTTGTTAGTCCTTCTTCAAATCTCACTAATCCTTACATTCATAGAGTGATTCCAAAATGCTCACTCCTCTCTGCAGTGTTTGAATTAGAATACACAGGGAGTTGGCAACAAAGACTTGGCTTTGTGGAGCAAAGCTGCTGTTGATTTGGACGAATTAGCTGCAGTTTGCACACGCTTTCTTATGTCATAAATGGTGCATATAAAAAGGGAAAACAGAGTGGAGTCTATTACAGGGGTGCATATGTGTTCGGGATTAAATGTGTGTATGTGAGATAGGGTTGCTCCATCAGTGTGCTTTTTATGCATGTTAATGTCATGATGAGTAAAAGAACCCAAATCCACAGATAGCGGGAAGGCGCCAGAATTAGCGACATGGCATTGAGGCGCAGCGGGGGCGGTGGTGGGGGAGGGGGGCTGGATCAAAGGAGGAGTAATCGCTGCAGAGTACCCGAGTGGGGTCGTGTTCATCCGCCATCCACAGCGTGTGTGAGAAAAAACACGGCCGAGCGAGGCGCAGCGCACACACTCAAAACCAGGCCAGGGAAGATTAATACATAATGTGGGCGTTAATGTTTAATTTATAAACTGGTTTAAAGGCTTGTTACTGTATTTATATGATTACAGAGCTCACGCATAATGAAGCCTGTTTGTACATTTCCATTTGCTTATTCGGAGAGACTTAAAAGAGATGAAACAGTGTTCAAACATAACATTTTTATAATCCCGACACAATAGAAGTAATAGTAGAAACATTTTGTGGTGAACCCTCGAGGGGGAATGAACTAAATATGGCCCCAGGTAGCAGGTAGCATCCCTTTGTCTGCTGCTCCCCTACAGTTTTGCCTGTCAGCCCCTTAAATGATTCCCTTTCCGTCTCATCCATCATTTATCTATTGCCATACATCATCCTTTCATCTCCACCTCTCTGCGTCGTTAGACCAACAAAGGGGACATAAATACAAAAACTGAAAATTACACAAAGTATCGCTGAGTTTGAAAAGGCACATCAGTGTTTACGGCTTTGATCATAAATAGTCCTTCTTGGTGACCCAAACTGTGATGGGCTCAAGAGTGTTTAAAAGGCACATACACGTTACGTCAATTCTGTGCATGTATGTACTGCTCTCCGTGTATATCCATGTGGAAATGATATGCTTGCTTCACTCGAAGATGAGAAATCTATCAAGTATCCGAGTCCCCTGATTCTTGCTCCCCTCATATTTCAAATGATTAATGATGGCCTAACAAAGCAGGCCTTGGATAAATGCTAATAGGATGAGTCCTTAGAGAGGAGGATATGGAGAGCGGCGCCCGGGCAAATGGAAAAGCTCGCTGCTTGACACACTGTGTGCATACACAACTACCTGACAGATGTTCAACACCAGAGGACATCCATCACTCCCACACTGTCTGGCCTCAAGTATTAATGTGATCACAGTTTAAGTCGATAGCCGTTGATGACGCATTTGGGTTTTGGGGAGAGTAGGTGTGAAAACCGTAAAGCACTAAGAGGTTAAGACGTGTTTTACGGCTGGCTCTGGTTTATAGCTGTAACAGCCCTACAGGGAATGAGCCTCTGAACAGTGTTTAGCAGGGCCAACGTTAGAGGCTAGAGGCTACCATGAAGGCTGAGGACTTAATTGTGTCAGGAAAACAAGGAGCCATTTCAAAAGATGAAATGTTCTTCTTCTATCAAGAGGGCTGTGGCGTGAAAATGGAACTCACTCAAGATAAATGAAGCAATTAACCATCTCAAGACCTTTTAGAGAAGAAACATAATAAGAGGCTGTGATCAAGTTTATTTCTGAAATATTGAGCAATGAACATCTGAATTAGAGATTGAAATGAGTTAGACGGCAGTAACGAATTTGAAAGCGGACGTCTTTAATCATTATTTTTTATGCATTCAAACACTGAACCACTTATCGCTTAATTCGAGGGCTTTGGGGTATATTCTGCAGTCGTATACACTATATCACCACATGAATGGAAATGGGGCTGATCCACATTCTAGGTCTATGTGTCCATGTCAAGGGCATCAGAGTAAGTACTCGTGCACTTATGGGGCCACAGTGGGACTATATTCCAGAGAACCACCTCAGCTTTGTTACAGCCATGGCAATAATGGCATCCCTGCAGATCTATAACTGCCCCATACTCATCAGCGGGAGCCGGGTCCAGATGTGGATTGCCTGAATTAATCCGCCATATTTTCACGGCCTTCATATCACTGATGATATATGTGGCTATTACAGCTGGTTGCAGTGCTCTCCGTGGCCTCGTCATGACCGCCATCACCTCTGTAACAAGAGGATTGGAACTATCACCAGCTTTCTGCTTGGGTACCCTGGAGTCAGAGTTGTAAAACGCACAATATTAACCCTACAAAAGGTCGCCTTATATGCAACAAAACTGTTAATATACCGCAGGAATTGAAAAACAGGGTTTAGTTTCTCTGTATCATCGTAGGATAATGGCGCTTTTAAATGTCAGAATGCAATTTTTCTGACAGGAGCTGAAAAAGTCTTAGTGCTTGTTTTAAACTCTCTGAAGTGCTTTGCTGTTTGAATTTAACCCTTAGACGAAATTAAAATGGTGAAGTCACAGCGAATTGCACTAAATCGACTTTCCCTGATTGTTTTTAAGTCTTGCCCTTGCTGCCTTATACGACTGCTAAGTATGCTCCAAAACACATGATTACAATTATTTTTTCAAAAATCCCCCCCGGCTGGTTTTCCTGGCCCTGGGCACATTTGAACCGTATCCATAAATTCAACCTCTTCAGCCATTCGCTTTTCATTAAGAGAAACCTTTTACAAATCCCGCTGCTGAACTATTAATCCCGAGACCCCATCAATAAAAGGTCAACCTTTCGGAGGTCAACCTTTTATTGATGAAGCTTATCAATCATCCACACTATATACCTTTATCTGCAGTATCTCTCTTCGACCTCAATGTTTTCAAACGTTTATCACACACAGGCAGCACAGAGGCATAAAGACGTTCAAGGACATTTACCCATAGGTGTTCCCACTCCGTATGCTTTGGAGTCGATGAGGCCTCCGATCTGTGTGAGGTTGCAGTTGCGCTGGGTGACAAACTCGATGGTGGTGGACTCCATGAGGAAGGCGTAGTCGGAGGTCAGGACGCGCTGGATTCCCTCTTCCATCGTCTTAACCATCACAGACTGCCTCCTGCTGTTCATGAACTCCCACATCTTGTCGTAGGTGGAGATTTTAGTTTTCTACAAGATACCAGAGGAAAGAAGTGGAATGAGGTGGTGGCCAACTCACGTTAAAGTTTCGTAGCCTATGTTTTCCAAAAATATACTAGATTTTGATAATATATTTTTCTCAATGTTTTTAGATCAATTGATTTAAATTATAATGATATAATTACTATACGTGTTGATAATCACGATGTATTTTAATTTTTACAAAAGGCTTTATATTGCAACGCATATTTTTTCCATTTCTAAATTTAGTTATTCATCGATTACGTTCAAATCTCTAAAACTCTTAGTATCTGCAACAATGTTTAATACGTGTCTCATATAATTCTAGTACCTTTTTGTTGTATTGTTCTTTCACATAACTATGACAATAAAAGTGTTAAACAATTGGATATGTACCAGTCTCCGAGATATACAGTATATAGTCTATCTCGTAAGGCAGGGGTGTCAAACTCAAGGCCCGGGGACCAAATCCGGCCCGCGACTTCATTTCATGTGGCCCCACCAGAGCAAAGAATATAATATGTTTATTATACGGTTACATGCTTCTTTACAGAAGCACATTGCCCATAAACCACATGTCCCACAATGCATCTCAAATATGATTTTTTTTCCCGGAATTTGACATTTTTTTCTCAAAATGTCCATTTTCTTTCAGAATTTCACTTATTTTTGTTTTGTTTTTCCAGAATTTGGCTTTTCTTTTTAAATCATTTTGTGACATGCACACTGAAGAGACTTGCAATTGTTTGCCCTAGACTTCTGCTTTCAGACGTAGTTAATTATGAAGTGACCTATCCGATAATAATCCAATGCAGAGGAAATAATGTTATATAATAAATGATTTTATATATATTAAATATTTATATATTTATTCTTTTATAGTGTTATATATAAAACTGGCCCTTTGAGTGCAACCATGATGCTAATGTGGCCTGAGTTGAAATTGAGGTTGACCCCCCTGCTGTA